GAGGGCCCTGACCTCACCGGCCGCTCCCAGCCCCCTCCCCGCTCCGCCCTGCCCGGCCTGCGCCCCCAAGCTCTCGCTAGAGCTGCCGAGGGCCCGCGTGGCACGGAGAAGGCACTGGGAAAGTGTCAAGATTTCTTCTGCGCTCCCCCCACGCTCGGTCCCCACCCCCAGTTCTCTAGGTTTTGCTGCTGCCGCCGGGGAAGGGCTGATCCGTTTTGCGTCAAAGGACTGCATTTACTCAGTCCTGCTGGGAGAGGCGTGAAAACACCCAGGCAGGCCAGGACCGGGGAGGGGGGAGAAAAAGCCAAGCATCCACGGCTGGGGGGCGCCCCCGCCTGCCCCGCCCTGCACCCCTCGCGCAGTCGGGCACTCTGCTGGGCGGGCGGCGGCGTGAGGAGTCTGGCCGGACTTGCCTCGCTGCGCGCGCGTCCTTGGGGATGGAGCTCAGGACAGAATGTGTTTTATAGCTGTAAACAATGACCCCGAGTATTGTTTGGGATTACCGTATCTTGGGGCCCCTGGGGCGGCCAGATGCCGCCAGCCGTCCCGGAAACGCCAGCGCTTTATATAGAGCCCCGGGAAAGCGTTGAGTTCCCGGCTCTATTTTTCTTTCCTAGCAACACCCCCACTTTACAGATAAGGAAACTGAGGGCTGGAATTGTGATGCGCTATTGTACACGGCGACTCAGCCAAAAACTCTCACCGAGACACCTTCCCATTCGGTCCTCATAAGGATCCTGTACGGTACAGGTAGTGCCACTTAAAAGAGTTGGGTAAACTGAGGCTCGAGAAGACTCCGAACCCAAACCTAAGACGTGTCAGGGCTGATGGGCTTTACTGGAACCCACAAGAAAGGAAAGGACTCGGGGAGCGGGGGCAGGGCGGGGGCGGGCGGGCTCAGACTCCTAGTACAGTGCTCTGCAGACCACACCCCGTAATTCTTGCGGTAGGGTCGGAGCTCCAAGCGCAGACAAGGGCCGTAGAAGGTCATCTATCCCCAGCCCCTTCATTTAATAGGAGGAATAGGCCCAGAGAGGTTCAAGGACTTGCCTAAGACCTCGCCGCTCGTAAATAACATAGCCCGGCGTTCCTACTCCTCGGCCTGTGCTCTTTATCCTGCGCCCCGCCCGGTCCAGCGAGGCGGGAAGATTCTGTGTCCGGCTACCCTCGCCCTGAACTTCGCTCCAAAACAGCTGAAGACAACGGTGGGGCACACCCTCTCCCTGGCCTCCCTCCTGTTTTTGTTTTAATTCGTTAACAGCCTGGAGTTTGCTTATAACGCACGATTACTCCTATTAGATGCGTTCTAATTGCTCCGCACAGAGGAGGCCGTGGTGTCTTGACTGGTTAATCTCGTCTTCGAGGCCACTCCTAACAAATTAATGTTAGGACCGAAATTAAAAAAAAAAAAATTTAAAAAGGGAAGCAGTGGGCAAACCGCCACGGAGGGAAAAATAGGCAGGCCAG